ACGCAGAAGAGGATATTATACCAGATAAGGGTATAAGTACCAGGTCAAATATAAGAAAGGACCGAGGAATAACCTACTTAACCTGTTTATTACGGATAAGCACTAATAAATTCTTTTATGAGCGTATATATGAGCCTAAGTCCATTAAGGTTAGTATAAATAGGTGCGATTAATGATAAACAAAGGTACGTTTTCATAATTACCAGTTTGATTAGCATTGATATCTCTGAGACCGAGGACTGACTTAAGTATTGGAGTACCTTTTGCAGGTACTCCTCTCTTTCCCGAGGATACCTCATGAAAGACGAAGACCCAGCAGAAGTAGCAAAATTACCGGAGTACCCTCGTGCAGGTACATTTTGGCGCCCACCGTGGGGCCCGTTTTGAAGGCCCGCATTGTTTATTTCTTTTGCAGGAAGAAGATTTTGTAGAAGATGGTCACTACTAGGAACAACAACCACTCGGTTCAACCCGAACAGGACTCGAGGCCGGTTGCTGTGGAAGATCAAACTGATCTCTCAGAAGTTGTGAGTATGCTTCGTGAAGAAATAGCAGCTGTCAAGCAAGCCCGAGAAAAAGACGCTCAGGAGCTTGAAGCACTCAGGAAAGAAAATGCCGAATTGAGAAGCTTGAACAGAACTTGGAACCCTACGACTGAGCATCCCAACAATGAGGCATCCTCACATCATGCACCGACAACTCCACGAACACGTGCCCCTCCCATGCAGCTGTCAGCCATCCCAGGGCAACCTTCCCCTCGAGTAACAATAACACCTGGCTCATACAAACACCCTTTCACTCAAAGCATTATGGAGGCAACCATATCTCATAGCTGGAGAAATCTTCCTCTAGAGAAGTACGATGGGTCCTCGGACCCTGGTGACCATTTGAATGCATACCTCACACAGGTTACCTTGTTGACAACAGAAGATGCTTCCTTGTGTCGCCTTTTCCCCACTTCACTAAAAGGACGAGCACTGAGTTGGTTCATTAAGCTTTCCCCTAGCTCCATAAATTCATTTGAAGAACTAATATCTTTATTTACAGTACAATTTGCTACAAACAGACCTTACCAACTGACATCATTGGCGTTGGCCAACATCAGACAGGAAAAGAAGGAATCCTTAAGGTCATTTATGGATCGTTTTAACAAAATCGCAATGGAGATAAAAAAACCTGAACCCAGCTGTCGCAATGGATAGGTTGAACACAGCGTTGAAACCTGGACCTTTTGTAGATAGTTTATGCAAAAAACCTCTGTTGGATATGAATAACTTGAGGAGAAGGGCTGAAAATACATGAAAATGGAGGAATTAACTGAATCAAGAAATCAAGCTAGAGCCGAGGCTATGCCAATTGGGAAGCAAGGAAGAATCTAAGGGAAGGAAAGCTCTCGGCCAATTGAGATGGACCATACAGAATTAATCAAAACATGCGAAATGGAGCATACAAGCTAGAAGAATTAAATGGAAAGTTAATGCCAAGAACATGGAATACAACACATTTGAAAGTGTATTACAGTTGAAAAACATTGTAATTCGGTGTACTCTTTTCCTTGCTTAGTTTTTTATCCCTAAAAGAACGTGAAAGGGTTTTTGCTAAGCAATGTTTTTAATGAGACACCCCAGTAAATAATAATACAAGAAATATTTTCAGGTTTAACGAGCGCCTAGACTCAAGACCTCGGTCGAGGACACACTCGGTCGAGCGTAAGAAATGAATCAAGACCTCGGCCAAGGACACACTCGGTCGAGCTTGAAAAACAACTCAAGACCTCGGCCGAGGACACACTCGGTCCAGCGTGAAAAAAGAATCAAGACCTCGGCCAAGGACACACTTGGTCGAGCGTGAAAAAATAACTCAAGACCTCGACCGAGGACACACTCGATCAAGCTTGAAAAACAAATCAAGACCTCAGCCGAGGACACACTCGGTCAAGCATGAAAAACAACAAGACCTCAGCCGAGGACACACTCGGTCGAGCATGAAAAACGAATCAAGACCTTGATCGAGGACACACTCGGTCGAGTGTGAAAAACGAATCAAGACCTCGGCCGAGGACACACTCGGTCGAGCATAAAAAACGAATCAAGACCTCGGTCGAGGACACAGTCGATCGAGAGTGAAACGAATCAAGACCTCGGCCGAGGACACACTCGGACGAGCGTGAAAAACGAATCAAAATCTCGACCAAAGACACACTTGGTCAAGTACGTAAAATAAATCAAGACCTTGGCCGAGGACACACTCGGTCGAGCATAAAAAACGAATCAAGACCTTTGCCGAAAACCTACTCGAACGAGCTTGATAAACCAAGGCCTCGGCCAAGGACTCACCTAGCCGAACACGAGAACTCAAGACTTTTAGCCAAGGACACACTCGGCCTAGTCGTGGAATAAAACACGACTCTCAATTAAGGACACACAGTCAAGCATGCAAAGAGAAAACCTTAGACCGAGGGCAGACTCGATTGAGGATACAAGCAAAATCAAATTCGGGTGAAAATGCACACCAATGATTAAGTGATTCTAAACATATAAGATTCTTCGGTCAAAGAACGAACTCGATTAAGTATAAATTCGAACATTTAAAACCCCTCGGTCTATTAAAGACTCTTCGGCCATAAAAACTTCTAAAAACTGTTTTATATACGTTATTAGTCCTCGGCTAGAAAGTTGGAAAACTAAGTTTCAGATTTCAGATACAATAATCATCGACCAATTGAAAGTTGAAAATTGTTTTATGCCCTCGCTCAAAGGAATTAAAAGGAATCAAAAATTGAGAAAACCGTTTTGGTCCTCGGTCAATTGAAAGTTTTACATATTAAAAGGCCCTCGGCCAGTTAAGAAAACCGTTTTGGTCCTCGACCAAGTATTTAAAAGCTAAAAAATTTCGCATATAAAGCGTTCTCGGCTAGAAAAGTGTTGAAAGCCAAAATTATATATTGGCCCTCAGCCAAATAATTGAAACATAAAGCTGTACGTATAAAAGATTTCTTTGTGAAAAAGTTTTGAAAGCCAAAGTTTTATATATATATTAGTCCTCGGCCAAGTATGATTGAAAACTTAAATTTTACATATAAAAAGATTCTCGACCAAGTAATAGTTGAAAATGGTTTTATGTCCTCGGTCGAAGGAATCAAAAATTAAATTTACATATCAAATTTAAGAAAACCATTTTCAGTCCTCAGCCAAATGTTCGCAAACTATGTTTTATATATATTAGTTCTCGGCCAACTTTCCAAAAGTTAAAGCTTTACATATAAAAAGATTCTCGGCCAAGTAATAGTCGAAAATGGTTTTATGTCCTCGGTCGAAGGAATAAAAAATTTTATATATTAAATGGTCCGCAGTCAAGAATTGCCAAGGTTAAATTTTTATATAACCCCTCGGCCAAAGATTCTTCAAGTTTCAATTCTTATAACTCCTTGGCCAAAAAGCTTATTAATTACGTTGGCTCGATACCATGAATTCTTTTCAATAATACTTGATCATGATCATGACTTAGGCTTGAAGTTAAGAATAAACGAAAAATATCAAGACGTAACATTCATAACATGGGTGGAGTACAAACTATAAAAGTACATAATAACAATCATGAAACAGAGTAAAAGCCTAAACATGAGGATTTGCATCAGTTGGAGCGGCACTATCTTCGGCACCTTGAGACAAAAGTGGAGGGGTGTTAGCATCATCGATGGTGGCCTCATCAGGAATATGGTTCAAATCCATGAAGTTTCCCTTGTAAAAATCCTTTCCAAGGTCAAATTGAAAGTCCGAGGGAACATCAAGGAAACGAATGGCCTGTCGAACGGCATGATTAAAGCCCTCTTCATGTTCATTGTAAATCTTCTCCCCGGCAACATTTTTGTAGGACGCATAATCGTAAATAGCTTTGTCTCTTTGAGCAGGCACCTCTTCAAGTTGTCCTCGAACTCCCCCACCACTTTGGCCTTCGATGCTTCGGCCTCACCTAACTTCTCTTGAAAATTGCTTACCAAGCCATGCAGTTTCGTGCGCTCGGCCTTAAGCTTGTCAAGTTCGGCAGAAAGCTCTTCATTTTTGCTGAGAGCCGAAGCAAGGGCAACTTTCGAATTCTTCAAACTAGTACGAAGCTTATCCATCTCAGTGATCGGTTCCACGAAGAGGGTTTGAGTTATTGCCATAGAACAACCCATCAACTCACACAAGAGAAACCACTTTGTCAACGAGTTCTCTTGAGATAAAAAGTTACAACCTTCCGGGGAAATAAATCCTTGGCCGAAGACTTCTCATGTATTAATCGTCAAATTCAAAAAGCTGCTTGAAGTTAGAGTAGGGGACAAAGTGCAAGGACAAATGAAAGAAGGGGTTAAGTTTTTCTGCTTTTTAACCCTCATTTCAGCTTCAGCCTCGGTCTCCAACCGTTCAGTAGTCCTACGCTTCAGACCCTTGCCTTTGTCCTTTGAAGGATTCTTCTTCTCAGCCCAAGTAAGGACCACCTCCACTAAAGGCTCAACAAGACGAACCCACTTGCCCTCTAGGATTTCTCACACGAAACGACGGACTTGTCTTTTAGGTTTTCTTCACTTTTTATTAATTAATAATTATTAAAAAGTTTTGAAATCCTGGGGGCATGTATACCAGATAAGGGTATAAGTACCAGGTCAAATATAAGAAAGGACCGAGGAATAACCTACTTAACCTGTTTATTACGGATAAGCACTAATGAATTCTCTTATGGGCCTACATATGGGCCTAAGCCCATTAAGGTTAGTATAAATGGGTGCGATTAGTGACAAACAAAGGTACGTTTTCATAATTACCAGTTTGATTAGCATTGATATCTCTGAGACCGAGGACTGACTTAAGCATTGGAGTGCCTTTTGCAGGTACCCCCTTCATGGAAGACGAAGACCCAGCAGGAGTAGCAAAATTATCGGAGTACCCTCATGCAGGTACATTTTGGCGCCTACCGTGGAGATTATCCACTGGGCAGTGAAAAGGGGATAACATGTGACGTTATGCAGAAAAAAAAAACCACTTGATTGATGTGGTGAAATCCACTGAGATACAACTCAACTCTTCCAATTTGAACAACACACTACTACCTAGACGGTGTAACCCTCTAATTAACTCAACAACAGGAACAACAAAACAGAAGCCGGTGAAACTAATACAATAATACTCTAGGGTTGCTCAAACTGCAGCCAATGTCAAGAGAGTCAAAGATGATTGATTCTAAACGTCAGTAATAAAATAAACGCTACCCAATGAGGTGAGGTTCTCTCCCTTGGGAGAACCAAAATGCGGGCCAAACATTTTAAGAGAGGCCCATAAATAGGGTAAACAAATTCTAATTCTACTCAATCTCTACTCCACAAAATTGTAGGCCGGGAAACTTCACAGTACCACAGCAACCTTTTCTTGGGAAACAAAGCTCGAAGGATGGGCAATCAGGGGCTCATAGTGGTCAGCTCCAGCACCGCACCAACCTGTATGTGCAAACTTGCTTAGAATTTTCATTTAAAGAATGACAAAAAATACTCAATTGTCAAGAATGAAAGATAGAGAAAACATAACCTGTCTGAATATAAACTACTACTGAGCTAGAGTAAAAATAGCCGTGTCCATTAAAGTATTTTGTTCTCCATTACCTGTTCCTTTCATGAAAAGAAAAAATGGAAGTTCAGTAATTCGGCTCCTTGGACGATGCGGAAGGAAGAAAACACAATTTTCTTCATCAACCATGGCATCTGAACCATGTGCTTGCACCTGAAAATGATGAACAAATTTAGATGGAAGCAAGGTGGCCGACAGATAGTCCCAAGTATGTACACAAACTAGGCAGCACAATAATGAAATTTACATTTGCATTATTTTCCATTTATAAAGATTCCAGGTCAAATCATTGAACCTTCTTCATATCACACAAATCGAATTCCCAATTATAAATACAACTTATAAGAATAAGTTGAAATCATAATCAAGCCTACAGGTAGAATTACGAAATTCCAGCAAGCCACAATTTGTTTTAGATTCACATTCACATAACAGATGGCACCTCTCTAATGCACACTCGCACAGTACTACTTTATTAATGCACGGATACAAACAAATAATTGAATGTGTCACACGGATATATCTGCAGTTGCAAGCCAGAACACTCCAGCTACATAGAGTGTGGTTCACTTATATAAAAAAAAGTGGCTCTTGGGTCCCATCCATTAGCCGTTAGTTCCTGAAATGCAATTTAGAAAACCCCATACCTAAGATATATTATGACAACCTCTCAATAATAAAGTTTACATGATTTCGATTTACTTTTAATAGATGAGAACTAACATGCAGCAGCACAAATTAAGCTTTTCTCTACTATACACTTTACATCTACAACAAGTAGGAGTATAAAGATGATTCATACATAATACTAATTTTTCAAAACGATTACCTGATCCACAACAGAGGGGATTATATACAACAACTTGTGAAAAATTCTTAATGGAAAGAATATAGACACCAAAAGCAACTTGAAATGTCCACTTCTTACTTACCACATATATCTCTCGCTTGAACTCTGTAGCAAGGCATTCAATTGCAATATCATCACCGAAAGCTGCAGCACGACCCTCTCTATTCTCATCTACAGATAATAAACCCTCCTCAGTATATTGCAAAGTGATGATATCATATTCATCATCAGGAGAACCAGAGATCAACATGTATTTGGCCCAACTTGGACCATCAATCACCGGAATACATCTCTCTTTGTAAATAGACTCCGCCGCCATTTCTCTTCAATCAAACAAAACACAGTAAACAAAACAACCAAAACCAAACGCATCACTCTGATTTCAACACAACTCAAATCAAAACATAAATCTCTTACGAAAAAGCACAGCTCAGAAACAAATCAAACAAAACAACTTTCACTCTTCAATTTCTTTCGTCCTTATAATCGTAGCTGTGAATCTTCTAATAAACTTCTACGCCTAATTTCTCAACATTTCTCTAACACTAAAAAAAACGAATCGATTAAAGCAAAATCTTACGAAATGAAATGAATGAATGAAGGTTGTAGCGATTGAATACCTTTGCATACCGAGGTGAACGAGTTCTTCGATGGCCGAATCAAGAGCGAATCGATTCTCCTTCTTGGCCAACAACTTTACCTCCTGAACGACGTGAATCCCCCAACCGTTCTTCAGATCCGGCGAGTACATGTGCCGAATCGCGTCGTCGATCGCTTCTCTCTCCTCAAGGCTCGCAGATCCGAGATCCTCCAAGAACCGCGCCACCGTCCGCCGCCGCAGTTCGCGCGCGTCGACGTCCTCGCCGCCCATGGCCTTGCGCGACGCCGTGAAGAGGCAGTTCCCGTCGGCGGAGACCTCTCCGCCGTGCGAGAGGCGGAACACGACGGATCTGAGCGCGGACGACGACGGCGACGAGGAGGAGTCCTCCTCCTCCTCCTCCGGCGGCTTCCAGAGGACTCCCTTGGCGTGGAGTCTCTGGAGGTGGCGGCGCTGCTGCTCCTCCAGGCCGACGACGTCCTCCCAGCCGCCGGCGAAGGCCACCGCCGGAACGACGAGATCCACCGCTCCGATAGGCTCGGATTTGGGATCCCGCCACGGAAGCGCGGCCGGCGGCGAGCCTTGGAAGGGCTCGGCGACGGTGGTTGAATCGCAGAGAAGCTTCCCCATTGTAACGAATGAACGTGAGTGAATACCGCTTTTCCTTTTTTTTTTTTTTTTCTTTTTTCTTGATTATTGGAAAACAAAAATTTGGGTTTTCTTGTGGCTGTGCTCCACGGCCAAGCGTTGCAGCAGAAGAGAGAGAGTAGGGTTAACGGATAGATGGACCGAGCGGGAGAATTAGACACGTGTATCCATGTGAAGTGTGAACGTTAACGTTATTATCACCTTTCTCACCCAATAACCATATAAATAATAAATCTATTCATTTTTTAACCTCAATTCCTCACGCTGAGAGACTCATTAACAATATATTTTTTAATGAAATTTAAGTAATAATAATAAATTGTAAACTTGAAAGAGAATGTTAAAAAAATACTAGAGTAGTTTCTTATGCAGAGTGCAGTATTTTCATTGGTGGGTCCAACGCAAAAGTCGATTATTTATTTAGAGATTTCTAGAATATTCCTGTAGGATTCCGACAACTCATTTTCCCTGGTTCGACACTCGCCAACCATGATTCTAACGTTTACATAGGAAAAAAAATCTTATTTCATTAATTATTTTAAAATATTCCCATTTTAATTAGTATTTTTTGAAAAGGTATCACCACCATGAGTGAAGGTGAACCCCACTCGCCACTCCATTCAAAATATATATATATCACCAACCCCATTTAAAAAAAAAAATCACCAACCAACTCCAATTTTGACTACTTTGGAGTCTACACTAACTATTTTTTAAAATTTTATATGCAATTTTAAATGTATTTTTGGGAATATCCTCTAATCATAATTCACGTTTTATTTCAATAATTTCCTTTGACATTTAATAGAAATATTTATCATGTGAATTACCAAGATTAAATTTTAATTTTTATTAAAAAATAATACCAATGCTTATAAAATATTTGTATTTAAGTTTTGTGGTATATCAAATCAATAAATCTTCAGTAAAGATCTTTGGTCAAAGAAAATGTACATGTAAAACGAATGCTCTAATTGATATGAGTCAGAGTGAAAAGGTTAGAGATTAAATAAACATACCTTTCATTATGTTGTAACAAAGTCAGGAAATTTTAATATTTTTAAATATTTATAATTTGTATCTTTTAATTTAATTACATTTCGTATTTTTAAATTTTAATTTGTAATTTATTTTTTCAATTTTTTAAAATATTTTTTTGATTATTTATTAAATATTTTTTTTATAGATATATGTTGATATTATTAAATTGTTTAACTAAATTGTTTTCATCTTCTAAAAATATTATTGAAAATATATATAGAAAATTTTAAACATTTAATATTTTGTAATTAATACTAAAATTATTTAATTAAAATTATATACAACAAATCATTTACAAATCATCTTTAAATTGATTTTTACTAAACAATATTCACTTATCTAACTGGTATTACGATTGATCTTAAAATTTTAAAGTAGTAAATTTAAATTTTAAATTCAATAAAATAAAATTCTTAAAAGAGATAATCTGAATGTAATTAAAACTTTAAAAGAAAATTAATATCTGACAAAGTAAAAATATGCTCTCATTAATATTATAGTAAAAAAAATGATTTTTACTAATTAAATTTTTAATTGAATTCATCACAATAGTAGAACATTACTAAAATGAGTAAATAATATAGTTAACTAAAACTTGAAAAATAAAAATGTTTATAATCTTTATTTTTTAAATTTCATTTAGATTTCAAAATCTTTAAAAAAAATTTGTATTAATTAAGCTTTTGACTTCTTAATTACTATGATATATTTATGGTTAGATTGCTTTATTGATCCCTAAACAATTTGAGAATTTTCAAATCGATCCTAAACTAATTTTTTAATTGAGTCTCTACATAAAAATAAAAAGTCACTGTAGTTAATTTTTGGTGGCTTGAAAAAAGTTCACGGGGTCCTTTTTAATTAGATCCAATTAATTTATGAGTGTTAATTTGACTTCTTATATTTTGCTTCGTTGTCCATTTCTAATCCCCTTTCTCTCTTACAATGTTTATTTTAAATTTGTTCCTAAACCTCGAAAACGTTATTATTAAGAAAAGTGTCGTGTGAAATAAATTAAATAAGAAACTATAAATATTTAAATGGCAAACATAAGAAGAAGAAAAATGTCATGCGATAGTTCTTGTAGAAGAACTTTAATATCATATATATGTATTTTTATTAATTTTATTTAATGGATCAAATTTAAACAACAATAAACATTTTTTTATTAGTATTTTAAGTTTTTATCTTTAACTAATCTAGTTCGATGAAGTAATAATAAATATTTATTCTTAAAATAATAAATTTGTAGCAATTAAAGAGTTTAATATTATAGGATAAAATATGTTTTTAATTCCTTTAAATTTATTTATCCTATTTTAGTCCATTAATTTTTAAAATATATCATTTTTAATTCTCCAAATACAATAAATAGCTCTTTAAAAAAAAGTATGCACTAATCTTCTAATCATAAACCTATATATATATATAGTGAGTTTGTTAAATTTTATAATATATTAAATAGCACTTAAAAAATCTTATAAAATATTATTTAAATTACTTTAAAAATCAAAAGTAGTACATTTCAAATTTAGAAGGTCTAAAATAAGACAAAAACATTTTAAAAAAATTAAAATCAAACTTGAAAACTTTTAAAGAGACTAAAAACATGTTTTACTTAATATTATAATATATTTTATATATATACATTCTTTAATAGAGACAATCATGTTTAAATAGGATAAAATCATTATAAACAACTAAATTCTCTCTTTAAGTGTCTAATGCAACTAAGTATCTAAGACGTAAATTCATTAAATATTATATTCTAATCCTATAGTCTTTTTATTCTTGCATATTAATAATCATATGCAATTCAATAAATTTGTCTTCATCTTCCTTCAGACCAATTTAGGTTAGACATTCATATACTAAGTTTACTCCATTAATACTTATTTATTAGTACTTGTCAACAAGACGTAATACAAACTTTGAAAAATAATTTTTATTTAATTTTAAATGAAATAGTTATATCTTGGGCTTTTTTTTGCCATCATATATAGTTTTTTTCCTTAAAAAAAACTAATAGCAAATAATTTTTTTTAATCAACCTAAAATTTGAATTTTAACATCTTAACTTTATTTTGTTACTCGTTAATTATCTATAATTCAATAATTTTATATTTGTTCCCTACCAATTTGGGCTAGTTAGTGACATTCATATTTGTTAAAAAATATTTTTTGTTAATAGTTGTAAGGTAACTTTCAAATTATTTCCTTTATGATAAATAATTCATCAATTGTATATATTATTTTAGTCACATATCACTAGTGGGCATAAGATTTTCAATACACTCTCAAATTGATATCTAAATTCGAGCGTAAAACTTATAAGACTTTATATTTGCAAGTAGTTCAATAACAACTCAATAACAAGTGATTTGATAGGTCCAACCATAATCATTAAGATAGACTTTGATTGTATATTTGTCCAAAATCAACTATTGTCAATAATTATAAAATGACAATTTTTAATTATTTTCCTCATAATAAATAATTTACTAATTGTATACACTATTTTGGCCATATATTAATAGTTAGCATAAAATCTCCAACCGGTACCTCATATCGAGGACTTACAGTTTTGTGTATGACATTTGTAGGACTTCATATCTACAAGTTGTCCAATGACTACTTAATAACAAGTGGCTTAATAGACTCAACAATAATCATTAGAATAGATTTTGGCACCATAATAGTTTTTAAATTTAGACCTAACTCAATTTCAAAATTAGTTCATAAGATAAAAGGTACCTCCACTTGCATATAATATTTGGACATATATCATTAATTGAGATAAAATTTTTGAAACATTCTCTCACGTTGAAGATTAAATATTTTCGAGTATGAAATTTATGAGATGAAATATTTATAAATAATATGACTGACTAAAAAAAAGCACTCTTATAATTAAAACAATAATAATTTACAAAAAACACTTGTCCAGCTTTTCTCATCTTGATTTATATAGCAATTGTCTTTGTGCATCATTATTGAAGGGTGAATGGATGGGGATGATTGAGATTAAAAAATAATTCGACCCACACAATATGGGGTAATTAGATTTCAAAACCAAGTCCTTGTTTATAATTGACTATTGGATAAAAGTCCTATATGTTTAACATCTCATATTCATGATTTGAGTCATATCCAAGAATTGTGACATGATAGAGGCTATCCCATGTTTGGAAGCAGTTCCCCATTCACATTCAAGCAAGAGATTAATTAAATGATGTGAAAGATAGATAGATTTCTCGAAATGGGCTTTCAATGTTATAGCTTTCAACTCGACCATCTAGTCTCTAGGCTTCATCCTCCTTTATTCTAGATAGTTATCCACGTGGTTATGGTAGAAACTAGAAACCCATGTCGCTGAATACCAAAACTCAATTTTTCTGATTGGTATACACCACAATCCACATGACACGACAATCCATAGCTAAAATTTATATTGTGGTACATTTGACTTACTTTTTCAAGTGTATTTTGTCAAAAGAAAGCATAACATTCTTTCCAAAAAAAAAAAAAAAAACGTCTGTTTGCATGTATAAAAATTCGGGTGTTATGTTTTTGCTTAATGAAATAATCAACTCAATCAAGCATAAAATCTTATTCGGAATTAGCTCCTGTTATGTTTCTAAAAACTGTTTTTGTTTTTCCTTCCTAAAATGAACAGAAGAGGTTTTCTTTTTTATGATTCTTTTACATAGAAAATAATTTAATCCAAGCATATACTTGCTTTGTCTTCGATCCAATACACTTCAACTTCATGCTTCTTCGGATGCCAACAAACACAATAAACTACTAAATTTTACCAGCAGCTGAGTTTCGTATGGATAATATCAACTTATATTGTAATTCTACCTAGAGATTTGTGATTTTTCGTTTGAATGTTATTTATTTTTATTTCATGATATAATATGAAGATATCTATCAAGTATTGAATTAATAAACTAAAAAAATACTTCTAAAGAGATTTGTAATATATATATATATATATAAATAAATAAATATATATATATATATGTATATATGTATATATATCAAGTTTTAAATTAAGTTAGGCAAAAATATCAATTCTTTTTTAAAAAAAAAAATACTAAACTCGAAATCTTAAACTTTATGTTTTTGAATAAGTTGGGTGTCAAAGTTTTAGATTTGGCTCCTTCAAATGAAAGAATCAAGATTGAGTGACTAAACTTTATTATGGAAGACATGAACATAATATTATATTTAGCAGACGGCCGGGTTTGTTCTCTTGTCAATGGCAGCTTAGAAAGGGTGCATTCTGTGTCAGGGAAAACGATTCTTTAATTTATGTTTTAGTTCAGGATATGCAAAACATTTAATAATTTTTATGTTTCCTTAATCTGACAAATTTATCCTAGAATTCTTTGTTCCATCCTATACATTAAGATTTTAAATGCTTATCCCAAAGTATCAATATATAAAGCTTTGTAGATTAATTTACTTGTAGAGTAGAGGACAAGTATTCTATGTAGAAAAACAATATGTTTTTTAGTTAAATGAGATTATTATAGTTTGAAACGTAAAAAATGATCGAATTTGAGAAGTTGAATTTTTAAAAAGTGATCCAAAAGTAAATTGTATTAAACTAATTCGATTTAAGGGGATAATAAGAAGAGGTCGGACTATAATTTTCATTTCCAAAATTTACTATATTTTTTTGGCTTAATATTATTTTAATTTTATTTTGGAAATTTTTAATAAAGTAAAATAAAATAAAAATAAAACAAGTCAATTTAACTTTGTATGATAACTCAACATGCTATGCCAAATCACAAATAAGTAATTCATATGAAAATTAGGACAAATCAACCATGCACATTTATTGACCATCCAGTTATGACTGGGAAAACTCTTTCTAAAAATAATTAATTATCTTAAATATATTATATTATCAATTAATTAAAAATCATTTTAAATCTAAAACCTAAATGAATTAGTTGAATGCAGCAATTTATACGATGTTTGGTTGGGGAAAAAATGTAGGCAAAGAAAGAGATTTTTATAAAATTTTCTTGTTTAACTTAAGTAGTGTTTGGTTGGAAGCAAAAGATGAAAGGAGTTTTATAATTTTTTTCATTTGGTTTAATTTTTAAAAAGGAAGCAATATTCTCTTTCATCTAATTTTAGGGGGTGTATTGGTTTAGGATTTCGTAGGATTTTAAAAGATTTTTTTTTAGTAAAAAAATTCATTGGTATTCAATCAAGATTTTATGTCATTTAAAAACAATCCAGTGGTATTCAATCTGGATTTTCAAGATTTTTTAAAAAGTCCATTAAAATCCATTGGTATTAAAAAATATAAGGATTTTAAATGATTGTTGTGTGAGATGGATTTTGAAGGACTTTCTAGTATTATCTATAAATACCAAATTCATAAAACAATCTCATCCAAATCCATCGGATTTTGAAGGATTGTTTGAAGTGACTTTTCAAGAATTTTCAAGTGAGTTTTTCATCTTTTTTTTCTATGTTCCTATCTTCTCCATTTTTTCTCTACTAATAATACTACACTATTGTTCATTGCTCATATATAATATTGTAGTACTGTTCTTATCTCATTTCCCTATTTTGTGAAACTCCGATATGTAAATGATAGTGTCATTGATTTGTTCTATTTTTCTGTTTGTTCTCTTTAATTGACTTGCTTTATTTTATTCTATGTAGTTGAATTTGTTTCTTTATATAACACAAAAAAATACTTGAAATTTCAACTTTTAAGTAGTAATTTTTTATAACACACGTCAAGAAAAGAAAAAGGTGAAAGATGAAATTGATATCATAATCTCTACAATATATATATATAAGATGAATTTGTTAGGGTTTCTGTGAGTATAATGAGATGAAAATGGATCTTAGTTGGGGAAAAACCCTGTCAGCATAAAAACTGCGATTTCTCTCCTTCTCTTAAGTTTGTTACTCTTATCCCCCTCCTTTTACGACTCAACAATTATTTTATTTTTTTTACTATGAATTTTTTTTCTTTTTATATTGTGAAAATAGGACTTTTTTATATTTTAAAAAAAGAAAATTAACAAAGACATTGTAGTATCTAATTTTTTAGGGTTTAGGATTTATGTCTTCATTAACTTATTTTTTAAAAGAGGAAATATTTTTAAAATATTTGTTAGAATAATTTACATTTATAAATATCGTTAAAAATTATCATATAATATATAACTAAAATAGTATATATATATATATATATATATATTCTATATATCTAAATGCTTATTCTTTAAATAATAATAATAATTATTATTATTATACTAATATTATATATATTGCATATGTAATTAGGTAAATATTTTTTTGGTGGATTGTGGATTTCCTAATCAACGTCAATTTTTAGCTCCATTTGGAGGTGTAAGATATCATTTACAAGATTTTGCAGGTCAGGGTAATGATCCTGAAAATGAGAAAGAATTGTTCAATCTTCGTCATGCGTCTTTAAGAAATGTGATCGAGAAAATATTTTGTATTTTTTTAAATCAAGGTTCACAATTTTTAAGTCAGCATCTCCATTTTTATTTAAGACACAAGTAGAACTTGTGTTAGTATGTGCAGCACTACATAACTTTCTACGTAAAGAATGTTGTTATGATAAATTTTCAATTGAAGCCGTGGATGAACTTTCATCTTCAACGTTACCAGTTAACAAAGATCATACTTTTAAACCTATTATTCAAACCCAAGAGCAAGAGCGAAAAGATGCTAATGCTTGAAGGACTAGTATAGCTATGAATATGTGAGTGAATGCTATTTAAGAAGATAAGATATTATGGAGAATTATTATTATTATTATCTAGACATTATTATTTTTGTCTTTGACTCTTTAAATTTGAATGTATGAATTTTTTTTTGAAATCTTATCAAATGTCAAAAATCTACGAAAATTTTACAAAATCCCACAAAATCCATTAAAATCCTGATTTAGAAGTCTTGCAGAATCCATTAAAATCCTGATTTTAAGTCTTGTAGAATTCTGCAAAATCTTAAAAGTCATAAAAATCCTGCAAAGTCTTTTAAAATCCAAGATTTTTTTTAACTAAAAAAGTCTTTTAAAATCCTAATCCAATATACCCCCCTTAATTTCTCACCAACGAAGGCTTAGAGGAGAGATAAAGAATTTTAAAATATTTTTTAGTATAATGACCAAAATATCTTTACTTGTGTTTTAAATTTAAAATTATAAGAATATAAGCATAAATTAATTTATAAAATTCTCCCCCTTATGAATAAAAAAGGAAAGGACAATTTTTTTCTCATCCTTTCCTCTAAATTAAACAAAATTTATAATTATTTATTTTCCCCCCTTTCCCTTCTCTCCCCTCACCTCTCCATTTTTTAAAAACAAATAAAACTTAATTTTAAAAATAAAAAATAAAAAAAGAATGAAAAAGAGCAAATTCCTCCTCATTTATTTTTAGCTTCCTATATATTTTAAATTTATTTAAAAATAAATAAATTTTTAAAAATTCCTCCTCCTTCCCTCTTATCAAGCAAACTAAAAAAACCTCTCCTCCATAAAAATGTCCCCCTCCCTTTCACTCAACCAAATGAAACTTATAAACTCTTCCTTCTTTTCCTCACGTTTAAACCCTTACATAATATTTGATTGAAAAAAAAATAGAGAAGAAACTTTTATAAATTTCTTTTATCTACTCCCTGATTTTTTCTTGATTGAAAAGACATTTAAATTAAATTATAAGTTTAAAGTTTTAACAAAACCTTTATCCATCATGATTGGATGTTTGGTATTTATCAAAATAGCCTGAGTCATAAAAGTTAAACATATCTGCCATGCATAGATCCATCTCCACAAACTAGTTTCAGTTATTTATTCATTTTGTAAGATACACTTGCTTATTATTCAAACGTGGATGCAATGCACCTACACCGCATCATAAACATCCACATGGACTCCTCATGATTTGACTGTTGATTTTGTGATTCTACATAATTTATATTGTCAACTCAGTAGCTGATTTTTTTTTTCATCTTCTCTTTTTATGATTACTAGGCAAATCTTACATTTCACACATGAGGTAGACACCGAAACTACCTCAATTATTCATTTCTTAAAAATAAGTTTTCACATTACAAACGTTATTACTAGTAGAGGATGACAGCTTATAACCAGCACATTTTCTTCTTTGTCTTTCACAGCTCTAGAACTAAGTCTGCAATGCACAAAAAAAAAAAAAAAATTAAGGGTAGAACCAGCAACACACAAGACTGAAACTGAAAATAAATAGACATGCTACAAAAAAAATTTGATATGTTACAATCATTTATGAAACTATAATTGGAAACACTGTGAAATAGGCCAATGGAAAATTGTTGTATATTACTTACAATCTGCATCCGTTTTGATCCAGTACTCCCTGTTGACAGATGAATCTTCCTCTGGATGCACCGGGTCACTTTTGTTGTAGCCTCCATCATTGATTATTTTCTTCTTCCTCTGATTCTTGTGGTGTTTAACAGATTTTTGTGCAGCTGTTGAACTTTCAGGGTGAACCTTCTTTCGGAACATATGGAGAATCTAAAAGCCACAAAAACGGCATTAGTCATGACCAGAATATTACTACATGTCAAAACTAAGACTATATGCGATGGTATAATTCAACTTTTGATTTTATAATTTCATAAACTTTATTTTTTAGTCTCTATTATTAAAAATATTTTATTTTTGTTTATATACATACAATTTTGTTCTTTTTCGGTCCTTTACTACTATTTCTATAAAAACTAAAAAAAAAATTATAAAATTATAGAGACTAAAAACAAAAAAAAATTATATGTATAAAACCTAAAACAAACTATTTTTAATTATAAGGATTTAAAGTAAAGTTTATGAAATTATACGAAGTAAAGTAAATCATATATAAATAATATATTAATTAAGGCAAAAAAAAAAAAAAAAGGTGAAAAGATTTTTGAAGGAAAGACTAATAGTGTGTTTGGACGAGTAATTTTACAAGTTCAAGGAATTTTAAATTCTTGGTATTTGAATTACTTTGATTTCAATTTCTATCATTCTTAAAATATTTTGTTTGGATAAGTCAATTCAAATTTATCAAATTTTAAATTGTTGGGTTGGATATGATAATTTGATTCTATCATAGTAAAATTGATTTTAAAAATATATTTATGTGTTGAGATTTTTAAATCAAATTTTATAAAAATAAATATTAGCTAATTTTTAAATATTTAATAATTTTAAAAATTAATATTAGATAATATTTAATAATTTTAAAAAATTTTGAATATTCAATAATTAAAAACATGAAGAGATAAGAGATAAGATAAAATATATAAGTGAAATAAGAAAAAAAATATGAGGAATTTTAAATTCTTACTTTTTTGTGAGAATTTAAAATTCTACTTTTTTAAGGAATTCCACAAATGCTTGAATTTCAAATTCCTTATAAATTCTCCATTCAAACAAGGTATTTTACCTCAAAAAATTTGAAATTCTTCAAATAAATAAATTACTCCATTTAAATTCTCCATCCAAACACACTATAAATGTCGGAAAAGAACATTAAAATGCAAAGCTATAAAAGTCAATATGAGAATGCTGGTTACTTTATATGGTAGTCTTTATCCGCTATCCTTTTATACAATTTTAATGTAACATGTTGATAATCATTAGTATTTCTCTTAACATTATGGTAATGCATAACACATTTATTCTAGGTAGATAAACGAGCAGATAGAAAATTATGGTTGGATAGCTATAGAATCTGCATGTGTACCTTATTCAGTTTTGTCTCTGCAGAAGCAGAATCAATAGGCCCACCATTTAGTGATGTAGAATTCTTAGAATAAGCATGGAGCATTCTCTTTTTCAGCTTTTCTTTCATCAGGTTCATGGCAGATTTGTCCACTTCCTTCTCAGTTCTTTTCTCCTCCTTTTCACATTTTGCACTGAAATTCTCCTCTGATGATTTGCTTCTCTGGAACAGCTCCCCAAGTGAAGTCCTGTGTTCTTTCTTTGCTGCTGCTGCAGTGGTTTCAGATAGTTCAATAGCTGTTCCAAAGAGGTATCCCTGGAGTGGACAAATTGCAGCTCCATTTCCATTTGGTTCTGTGCCTTCTAGTGGCTTTCCACTGAGTGTTATTATGCTGACATGGCTGCTTCTCCCAGTGCTGACATGGCTACTTCTCCCAGTGCTGACATGGCTAGTCCTCCTTGATGAATCAAGGCTGACATCATCCTTGGTTTCAGCTCCTAGCACTTTCTCCAGCTCATCATTGATGAGCTTCAGGTCATTCTCAGTGACTTCATCTTCTTTTTCAGTTATGCTCTCAACAGAAATGGGAAATATTGGTGTTGAGGGGTCAGATACTTGTTCTGAACCAAGAGTTCCAATTGCCAGGAAGCCAGGGAAGAATTCTCCCTCACAGTCTTCATCCACTCTTGCTGCTTCCAGACCAGCAAAAGAGTTTCTAAGGTTGTGACCTTTTTGAGCATGCTTGGAGAGTTTGATCCCAAGGTTTGGTTTCTGATAGTTTTGCTCATCATCATGTGGTGGCTGCCCTGAAAGACAATTGCAAGAATTCCCTGAAACATACAAATTTAAAGAACTATGGTAATTGAGAGGCAAAACACGCAGTGGAACACCACAATGATAGCATTCAGCTAGACACTGCCTAGTTCTAATCTTATGCTAGTATTTCACAAATGAGAAAACACAAACTTTCATTTTTATGGACTAAGCTATAGAAGAGATTTTATGGATCTTGTTACCCTTAAAAACATTTTAAACAGTCTACTTTTTATATTCCAACTTCCAATCCTAGGCACTCATTCTAATTTATTTTTGTAGTACTTCAAATTTAGTCATAGCTTTTACATGTTTGTAGATAGGTTACTTCTGTGTCTTCTTCATGGACGGTGGGCCTATACATTTGTGGTCATAACTCATAAGAACTTATTCTGGTATTAGCCCTTCAATAATAAAATTCATTTGCTTATCAAAAAAAAAAAAAAGTTTATGCAAGAGACAATTTTAAATTTTACTTAGCTACCATCTATAGTTCCAAGGTCATCAGAAATCAAGTTATCTATTGTGTAGTACTAGTATGGTAAATTTGCTTTCATGTACTACCATGATTGTTAACTAATTTTGATATCACATACTTAATGCATGCGTAGAGGAACATAAAATATGCGGCTTGCTAACAGCACATGACTTACCAATGACCAAGAATGGTTCACTACTATTCTGACGAAATTTCCTGTGCATCCAACCTAGTAACTGCAGCAAAGAAACGAAGAAACCAACTTAGAAGAGTTTGTATAGTGAATATTTTGTTCTGCAAGGAATGATTGATAATGGATCTTACCTTCATCTTTGATATTCAAGAAAAATCTTGAGTTTTGGTTGCGTAACTTGGGAAGATCAGGTAATTGAAATCGTTCTTAAATGATGATATCTTAAAAAGAACATATAAAATATTGGTGAGAATCAGTGATGTCTTATAGAGAGGATACAGCAAGAAAAACATAGAGATACTTACAAACATTGTTTGCTGTTATATCCCAGCACTAAATAAAGTGGGTCCTTAACACGCTAATCTGATCATGTGCAAAGGTCGACTAACAGTAAGTCTTATAATTTGCATGCATGATTTGGTGTAGAAAATGTTACTTATCAGTATTCTTTTGTCCATTGTTATAAATTAAGATGCCATGCATCAAGTGTCACACACTTTCTGGATGGTACCAAAACATGCACATTATGCAATATGAAATAGTTTGGTACTCAAAGTACGACGACGTGTGTGAGCAACATATTGTGCCTCGTGCACCTCATTAGTTGAGTATGAGTTTGAGTAGTGATGAACCATTGATTCTTGTGATTGGATAAACCCAAATCATTGGTTGATGCAAATACAACAACATAAAACAATTGACCAACAAGTGTTTCTCATTTTTTCTTCCTTCAGACAGAAAGTTAGAATAGTCTAGACCATAGAAGAATCCAGGGCCCCATCCCTTCACAGCTTGAGCCATGTGGCGACTAAACAGTGGTGTCTTCATGAGAGTTGTAGTAAATCTTCTTATATTTCATATGAGATGAGGATGAGAATGATTGGAGTAGTAGAACTCCCTATAGGTTATTTTAGGTGAAGGTTGTCACTGTAGGAATAAGTGCTTTTGATAAATTGCATGTGATACAGGTTGTGTGATAGGTGAAATTTGTGAACATGAATAGAATGCTTGTGTCTATTGCGTGTTATTGGATGATGATAATAAGCATTGGAATGCTATCCTTGTGTACTTGAGATGGTGATGAGCATTGATATGTTTTATATGATTGATATGCTATGTTGAATTAATTGTGAAGCATTGATATACTATTATTGTATGAATTGTTAAGCATTGATATGCTATACATGATTGATGATATAGATCTTTATATGCATTGACTGGATGTAATGTATATAGTAGATGTATGGTACGGGGTGGATGCTGAGAATGTGGTGAGACATTATAGCATGATGGCTAACTTAGGATTTGAGGAGATAAATTTATTTTGAAAACTGAAGATCCCACATAAGGTATCTTGGAATGGTGCTCGGGCAGGCCATTAATTAGAAAACTCTCATTGAGTAAATGTGTCTCTTGGAGTAGGTTTTGAGGTGTGTTGAGTCTCCTCCAAATCCTTAATTAGTGGTTGAGTTAGGTAGGAGGTCGAGGGCTACAACCCTTAACCAAGTACCTATAAAGGTTGTGTGGTTTCTTGAGGATAATCAGTGGGCGAGTTCCATATGTGACTTGGTAATGCATGCCAAGGTCGTGGTAAGCCTATACCTAGTTGTACTACTCCTAGCGGTTCACTTCAAACAATCCTTCAAAATCCGATGGGTTTGGATGGGATTGTTTTATGAATATGGTATTTATAGATAACACTAGAAAGTCCTTCAAAATCCCTCTCACACAACAATCTTTTAAAATCCTTATATTTTTGAATACCAATGGATTATTTTTAAGTTGTAAAAAATCTCAAATGAATACCAGTGGATTTTAATGGACTCTTTAAAAAATCTTGAAAATCCAGATTGAATACCACTGGATTGTTTTTAAGTGATATAAAATCCTGATTGAATACCAAGGGACTTTTTTACTCAAAAAAAGTCTTTTAAAATCCTACGAAATCCTAAACCAATACACCCCCCTTAGTTTAGACCCTTGTAAATGATATGTTATGTTTCCTGTTTCTCTTTCAATTATTTTCTTCCTTTGAGTTGTAATTTTGATATTAGTTATTTAGTATCGCCATGTGCGTTGAAGTTCAACTGTCTATTGAGCAATGTTGCACAATTGGAAAATTCTCACAAATTTTGGTTAGACAATTGTTGATTAAATGGTAATGGAGAGAGTCACATCACACGTGTCATTCTTACAAAGGAAAAATGTATAAATAATATTTTTCCATGTTCATCAGAGTGAGTTGGGTTTGGTAGATCACCAAGTTGGTTCACTTTTGGCAATGGTTTGTACTGTGTTTTTTGTGGAGCAAGTCATAAAAATTTCAGGATTCATAAACTCAGCACCAAATGGTAGGTCAGGGGACCCCTTCCCCCCGTAAAAGGAATATGGTACCTTTTATATGTCGTTAGCAATGTTGCCACATGGTGCTTCAGATTCACTATGTACACTCCTCTTTCCAGAGGAAAGTTAAATGTACTTTCCCATTGTTGTAAATTTTGTTCCATATCTTTGACTCGTTCTGCCAACATGGTTACAATGATTTAGTAACTGTTATTGCATCATTTGGGTAAATTTTTTTAAGATAAAAAAATTCTGTTTTTTTAGATGAGAGAAAAAATAGTATAAATAAATAAATTGAATATAAAGGCATTGTGTGTGTGTAAACTCAACTTGTTGCTTCTTATTAATGGTTATTGCATTCATTGCTTATTTTAGAATAAATAAAAAAATTATTGTGAAAGCATTCAACGTACGAGATGCAGACAAATGAAAGGAAAATTGGTTTTTTAAAATTATTTTTTTAATACAGTGTTTAGAAAAACTTATTTTACAAGTACTTATACGTAAAATATAATGAGTTTTTAACCTAAAATTTATTTGTGTGCATAGCTTTTGAAGAAGATAAATGAAAATATAATTTGATTTTAGCTTATACAAGAAGCTCAACTCATTTTTTTTTTCTTTTTTACAAATGTTTTTAAAATTCTTTATCCAAATAAAATCTCAAGTGACTATGTAATAGTCCTGCATAGTTTAGCAATATTTTTTATACACACTAATTTTATCTCAACCTCTTAAAATAATGTTAGAATAGAAAGCGTTTAACTCAAACTCTTAAAATAAATCTAAAAAGTTAGTTTATTGCCATGTAGTAATTTTATTTGATTTAAGGAGAATTTAGTTTAGTGAAAAATGTTTGTAGTCTCTATCAAAATAAATAAATAGGTATCACTCTTCTAAAAATGAGTTGCTCATCTTAACATGTAAAATAAGTAATTTCAAGTACAAAAAAAATTCAATTATTGATAAAATAATGGTTGAATAATATTAATTCCTCATATTTATCAAATGAAATTTCATTTGATAAATTAGACGATTGATTACTATTTATTAATATTTATTTTTTTATAATATCTATTAGTATAATGTATATATATCTTGCACTTAAGTTATTTTTAAAAAATATATAGAAGAAAAAGATATATAAAGTAATGATTTTTGAGAATAGACTAGCAAATTAAATGGTTTTTGAGTATTGGCTAGCAAATTAAATTGTATATTTATATTGTGTATCAAATCATGAATATATTAAAATAGTTGAATTTTTTAAAATATGAAATTGTTTATTTTTTCTTTACCTACTTCAAAAGAACCCAATTCCAAAGAAACAAATTTATGCAAGTCGCAGCAACTTGCAAGGTAAATTTTGACTAATATACCTATCCAATGTAAAATATTGATAGTAACTTGCTTATGTTTTCTTATCAAAAACAGGGCTATTGCCATTGAAGTATTGCAATTTGACCCACAGATTTAGATGCGAGTGAGTGTATCTAGAAAAGTGAAAAATGCAACTAGGGCATGTTGGCTGATTATGGCACAGTAGCAGCAGTGTCGCACGACCCAACCAAAATAGTGTCGCCGTGTTCATTTTGATTTTGCTGGATGACAATGAAGAATGAACTCGGGCATGATCGTTCTCAGAACACTTGCTAATATAAAATATGAAAATAATTAATAATTATTATTAAATTAAAATGAATAGCTTAAATTAAAAAATATAAATAAAACAATCACGTATTGTTGCTATCATAATTCTTTTTTAGTTATTTTTGTTGTTGTCTTCGTCACTAGTGATAGAACTTTAAAGGAGTAGGGTAGTCATAATTCTCCCAAAAAAATTTCTTTTTCTTTTAAATAGTATATTTTTTATATTATATTATAAATAATTTAAATTATATGTATTAATATTTTAGCCACCTCAAAATATTTTGTCAAGATCCATCATTAATAAAAATAATGATAGTAGTAGTAGTAATGTAACAACAATGAAGTGTGGTAATGATATTGACAACAATATTGTAATATGGTAGCAATACACCCAAGATGGAGGTGATGGTTGCAATGACAATTATGAACACAACAATGGCAAAGAGAGAAAGGAAGAGGAGTAACAGCTAATAAGAATGGCAGATAGAGAAAGAAAAAGAGGTGAGAGAAATGAAACAAAAGTTAAGAGAGAGAGAGAGAGATTGCAGAAGAAATTGGAAGGAGAGAAAAATTTCCAAGTGACGGAATTTACAGTAAAATTGTGACAGAGAATGGGTTTTTTACACTATTTCATTTTACTTAAAAATATCCTTATAAATTCTCATCATTTTAAAAATTATTTGAATACAAATAAGTCAGTTTGATATACAATACTTTTTTGGTATATGATAAAAATACTAAATATTTTTATAACACTTTAAATCTACTTAAAAATTAAATCATTCCCTCAAAATTCTTTTCTAAAACACTATTAAAATAATCCCATTCATAATTGTTTATAACCATTTAAAAGTTACTAACAAACTATTGATCCAATAGGCTCAATTGTCTCAAATAAAATCTTAAATTCTAATATTGCAAATGAAAAAAAAAATACTTAAGAAAAAAACTGTTAAAATTGATCAATCAAACAGAAATTAATTATCAATAAATCAATAGCTATTTCACATCTATAACCTGTGAAGAGAAATTATTAAGCTTGTTCATATTAAATTAAAACAAACTAAAGTAGACTCCGTTGCACAATCAAATCATCTCACAAGAAAAAGATATTTTGAAATTAGAAAGAACAACAATGCAATTTAAACATTTATGAAGGATAATTTTCCTTATTTTAATAATGATTATCAATCACACAAACACGTGAATTATTTTTGGTTCCGGGAGTGTCAGAACAGAGGCAGCGGGGTTGGTGAGAGAATATTACTGCCATCATTATCGAGAGCAAGATTGCGAAATAGTAGGCTTTTGAACATAGTGGGCCTATTTTAGAAATATATTAGGGAAATGGGACTGTCTTGTAACCAAGACCGTTTACAACGGTCGCTAGTCTATAGTGATATTGATGACACGTGGCCCTTTTTTTTTGTTTAGGTTGGGCTGGAATGAGTCATACCAGTGTCACTATAGGCTGGGTCAACACAGTTGATGGACTAACAAAAATAATGTAGCCTATAACGAACTGCGTAAGAAAAAAATAAAATAAAAACGAAAATAATAGAAATGTAAAATAAAAATAATAAACTGAAATATTTATTATATATTTATAAAAATAAAATTAAGTTTTATACAAATGTAATTTTAAATAAAATTATAAATTTTTTTAAAGAGAGGCGCTATGGGCCATAGCGACTTGGTGTTGCTATGGGTCAGAGCGCCAATCATTTTGTATAACTTTTTTTTTTAGAAATAATTACGTTTTATTTTAAAATTTTCGTTTTTATATTTTTAATTAAAAGTACACAAATTAAATAATTTAAATAAATTTATATTATTATATGTTAAATTTTTAAAAAAAAACTAGGACAAAAAAACGTAATTAAAAAAAAAATTAAAACTTGTGTCGCTATGGGCAGCGACACCATTGTTATTTTACTTTTATTTTTTATAAATAATTACATTTTATTTTAATTTTCTGTAATTAGTTTATTTATATATTTGCTTAATATAAATTTTATTTTATATATTTATGGTTTCTTTTTATTGTTTAAGTGTATTAATAATTTTTTATATGTTAATTAAAAAATAATAAACCAAAAATACGTAATTAAAAAAAGAAAAAAAATAAAAGTGGTGTCGCTATGGACAACGACACCATTGTTGTTTTACTTTTTTTATATATAAATATTTACATTTTATTTTATTTTTTTGTAATTAGTTATTTTTTATTTTATTTTATATGTTAATTTATTAAAAAGTAGGAAAAAATAAGTAATTAAAAAAAAGAAATTTAAAAAAGGAAAAAGAGTGTCACTATAGGCAGCGACACCTTTTTTGTTTAATTTTATTTAAAAAATATTTACATATTGTTTTATTTTTCTATCATTTCTACATTTATATATTTTTTATATATTATTTATTTTATATAATTATGGTTCAATTTAATTTTTTTGTCTAGATGTATTTAAATATTTAAGTGAGTGACGTTATGGCCTATAGCGTTACTGTGTTGCTATAGGCCATAGCGCCATTCTATTTTACGTTTTTTTTTTAATTATTAACTTCATTTCTTTTATTCAATTTTTAATTTTTATTATGAATCTCATATAAAATTATATTTATAAATTTATGTTTTCTATAATTTCTTTATTTTATTAAATATATTATTTTTCCTTTTTATTATGTATTTAAATATTTTTAAAACTGGTGCTATGGCCTATAATATAATGCTACTATTTTTAACTTTTTTTTTAATTATTAACTTAATTTCTTTTCTTCAAATTTTAATTTATACTACGAATTTAATATAAATTTATATTTTTTTTATCTTCTCTGTAATTTCTTTTTTTAATATATATGTTTTTTCGAATTTTATCTATTTTTAATATGTAAATAAGTGGTTTAAATGTAGCGTTATATTCTATAGCGCCACTATTTTTAACTTTTTTATATATAAAAATTATTAACGTAAATTTTTTTCTTATAATTTTAATTTTTATTACGAATGTAATATCATTTTTTATTTTTTTTATCTTCTCTGTAATTTCTTTATTTAATATATATATTTTAAAAAAATTTCTATTTTTTATATGTAAATAAATGGTTTAAAAGCGGCATTATGCCTATACCACCACTTTTTTTAATTTCTTAATTTTTTTTTTACATTATTGACTTTAATTCTTTTCTTATAATTTTAATTTTTATTACCAATATAATATAAATTTTATTTTTTTTATCTTCTTTGTAATTCCTTTATTTAATATATATATTTTTTCAAATTTTATAAATTTTTAATATTTAAATAAGTAGTTTAAAAGTGACACTATGCTAAGTGCCACTCTTATAAATTCATTTTTATTTTTTAAACTATTTTTATTTTTTTATATTTTTTATTTTATTTTAAAAATGTGACATTATAGACTATAACGATTCAATTAAGCTATTTTGTGTCATGAGCTATAACGACTTTATAAATATGATTTTCCTGACTTCTGGAATTTAAAAATGCCACGTGTCACAGGTATCACTATAGACCATAACGATACCGTTAAAAATTACCCTAAAGGTATAATTTGTTACAAAATAGTCCCATTTTGGTAAAAAAAAATTAAAAGAGCTCCACTATGGTCAATCAGCCGAAATAGTAACGAACTTCGCCGTTGATAATGCTCAAAATGACGTGTGCTCTTCTTTCAATTCATGTACAATGATACATTTATTTTTTTCAATTCAGTCTTTAAATATGAAAGAATGCACAATAAAATAGGATATTATTAAGTGAAGGTCCACTAGAGTACATTTTGCCAGAAGAATCTGGTACAAATGTCGAACGCCATTAGCAGGTGCCATCCATATAATCTACCAGCAATTCCTGGACCATGCCTCTATCTGGCATCTTCCCTGCGGCGCCATATATAGGTGCTAGCCCTCCACTTATTGGACCTGGATTTTCTTTCACCTGAAATTGAAATGAGAGAAAAGAGTAAAACAGAAAATACAAATTGAATTAAGACATAGTATTTTATCAACCGGTGAACTGTTACATCAGCTGCAATCCCTGCAACCACCCTCTCCTGGGGGCCCGGAGGCAGTATCTTAAAATCCAGAGTCACGTAATAAATGATTCATTTATAACATGGATTCCATGTAAGTAAACAACTTACAATTTTCACAGATTCCTTCAAATCCTTCAAAAAGTCTTCAACAATTGGCACGTGTTGCAGTGTCACGCAGATATGGAGACTGATTCAAGCACAAAGATAAAAATATCCAGTTTCTTAAATGCCACCATCAAGCACTAGCAGTTAAATGCCGAAAATACTAAACAGTGCCCCCCACCCATAAGAATCTAAAAGCCCTACGCCGCTACCTGTTGGGTCTCTGTAATGCATTCAAATGCCACCCCTTGGATGACATAATATCATTGACTTCAAATATATCCAGAACATCTGATCCAAAAGCCACGATTGTCATGTCAGGTCTTCCAACAATATACAACTCAGTAATCTCCTCTATGCTGCAGATATAACATAATCATTACATTCAAAGTTTTTATACAAGGCACAACATGAAAGTAGATACAGAAGCAAAAAGACGTGGTATCTTGCCCTTTCTGTATTCTTCCTGACCCTTCCATGATTGCTTTTGTATTTTTCAAGTAACCTGCAGAATAAACCAGATCATAAATTGCTCGTTTATCATACATTAGGCATCAGAGTTAGCAGAAAGGCAAATCAAATTATTATGGTCGTGGACAGTAACCTTCTTTTCCCAGAGATATCATTGCTGCCCACGCACCAGCAATAAGACTTCCAGGCCTGCTGCCGGCTATGGTTGGAGACACATACAACCCACCAGACCACTCAGTAACTGAGACATTGACACTAATTAATAAACAGGAAGAAAAACAAAAGTGTAACGGAATTATTCCCAGTAAGAGACAAAACATTTCCTCCAAACATATACATGACTAGCCCCATTGTCAAGAACTAAAAAATAAAGCCTAGAACTAGTCTAAAGTTTATGTCACTACTTATCATCTTCCCTTTTCCTTGCAGGTCATAATAGTGTAAACAAGATCATACAGAGCAGAGGTGAAAAGGATCATACACAAAGACATAAACATTATAAAAATAACCCCAATTAGCCAAGACATAACATTTATCAGAAACAAAAAGTAAACTTACCAGCAACAAATTGATGCTGTAGGATCCAGAAGACAGAAAGAAAATACATTAGTAATCAGCTCCAAGTAAATCAACCAATTTTCCAATAACAGAAAGGCATGTCCCAGAAAAGGTAATCCATAAAATAGAGATGAAAGGGAGGGAACAAAGAATAGAGATAAAAGAGAAATATGTAGTAAAGAGGAAAAATACAACCAAGGGAAGTGGAAATCATCCATACAACAAATAGGAATAAACACCAGAAAAAAAAAATGTAGTGTGTCAAGATTACCTATTACCTAGTCTCTCCAGTTATTAGAATAGTAGCTCTCATGAAAACAGCCATGAGCAAAATCCCCATGGAAAATAGCTGCTTTGCATTGCAAAAAAGATGACTTACACTTTCTTAAGTAGTTTTTCGCATTACACATTCAGAGAAACTGTCCCACACTCCCACACAAACAATATAACTTCTTTTTGTTAATAGGCTTTCCTATAAATGAGATTTCATATGATAACAAGGTTGTAAACTTGAAATTGCTTTTATCCCAATAAAATTTTAAGAGTTGGAATGAAGTGCACTATGACAGGGATGACTCTAAGGAATATAGACGTAAAAAATATAGTACTTGGAACTTCAGGTATTCATAATTGATTTAATGTTTGAGTCACAAAGAGCTTTCCATGGTATACAATTCCTCTTCTATGTCCTGTCTCCATAATTGTATTCAGTAAAAAAAAAATATAATAATATCCAATAATAGTATCCTACCATCCTTAAGTAAGAAGAAGTGCAAGAATATTTCATCTATCAATTCTTCATGAAAATCTAAGGAAGAGAAAGAGATGAAGAACTCTTGAACTAAGACCATTTGCATGTATGGCCAAGGATATCCATCATGCTATGAGCTAGAGAAATGATAATTCATGTTCTACAAATGCAATATTATCTGTAAAATGACACTTTGATCAGGAAAAAGAAAAACTTTAGTTATGAAGTAGAAACACCAATAATCAAATATGATGTTTAAAATTGTTATTTTCACAGCATTGATGGATGTCAACTCAAGGAAAGAAAAAAATAGAGTATTTTCTGAAGACTAGAACATGTCATATTCTGTGAGATGTTTTAAGAAGTTGCAAAATTTAACTATAAAAAAGTTATATAACCAATTTGGAATTTAGGTATAAGCTGCAGACTAAATAATTCATCAGTTACTGCAAAAAGCTTTTTGATTAAATCAGTGCCTTACCTTTCTGATTTCATGGTTTCTATAAAGAACTACACTTGTTCCTTTGGGGGCTAAACCATATTTATGCACATCCACTGATATTGAAGAAACCCCTTTAACCGAAAAATCGAAAGGTGGGATGTTGTACCTGGGAAGTAAAGGTTGAACATGAATTAATTACATTGTTACTGACATTTAACAAAAATTACAACAACAACCACATATTTCTGATATAAAAGAGCCTTTTTTCCCATTTTGTGTGGGTTGGGTGATTTGTATGTGTCACAATATTAATATAATCATCAAAAAAAAGTAAACCCTGATCCCAGAGAAGTCGAAGAGAATACTATGCTAGCAACATAGTCATGTATTTGAAAAAAAAATGGAATATAATATTATCAAAGAACAAAGAAAAGGTGTAGTATATCGATGGCTTCAGTGACAATCAGATTCAAATATGAAAGTATGCCTAAAACAATGACAAGGTAAAATTCAAGGCCAAAAGTATAACTAAAAAGACAACCACACTGAAAGATGGTTCAGTAATTTAAAATAAGTCATGCTAACTAGACATCTATACCCGAGCTCACGAGCAAAAGGTAATACAAAGCCACCAAGGCAAAGGTCCACATGGAAGCAAATACCAAAGCTTGATGCGAGATGACCAAGTTCCTACAGAAGAAATTGCCAAATTATCTGCATTATGGTAATTCAGCAAGCAAATTGAACTTATATTCTTTTTCAGAATTAGATGAAAAAATTAAAAACTTACTTCAATGGGGTCAATTATTCCATGAGGAAACCCAGGAGCAGATCCAACAATCTGATTTATCATATGACAGTCAATTTCAAGTTACTACTTATTAGCAGTTTGCATACCATATAAATCTGTAGCAAGAACTTTCAATTTTTTAAATAGAATATTTAAATGAAAAAAGAAAACTTCATACCAAGATTGTATTTTTGTTAATATGACGTCGTATAGCTTTCACATCCGCTTGAAAACTCTTGTTAACTGGTACTCGCCATAGTTTGATGTTAAAATACTGTGCAGCCTTGTCATATGCTGAGTGTCCAGATTCCGGAATTATCCTATAATTTAATAGTTAGAAAATATATTAAAAAATGATTTACCAAATATACAATAATGAATTACTAGTGACATACATTTCAGGTCTTGTAATTCCTTTCTTAGATTTCATATAGTCACGAGATGATTTGACAGCTAATAATATACTTTCAGTCCCGCCTGATGTCATGTTGCCACATATTTGTCCTCCAGAACTCTTTTCCTTACTTCCAAGAAGTGCCGCTGTCATTGCAACCACTTCTGCCTCAAAGCGTGCAACACTCTTGAATACATCCAAATGTAGAGGATTGGTATGGGCAAACCTGAAATGTAATCCAAATGAATTGTTGAATACACAGCAATAGCAACAACCCAGCTACTGAGCAAGGCTATGACCCTAGACAATATCCCACTACAATCAATGTAAAGTTCTCCATACTGTCAGACATTTCAGTGCCTCAACATTATTTGATGCCAAAACTTAATTTTGAAACAGTACCGTGAGACTCAAACATAAAGAACTAGTCCAGATTATGACATTTAATAATCAAGTAGCGGTCAAAGTAGCAAAAGAGGTTTCAAGCTTATTTCTGTTTGGCAAAACTGGAAGTCTTAACCATAGGCAAGCTTTCAAGTTCATACAATTAGCAAAGGTTCCTGTAATGCCTAGATCAGACTCAGCAGAGTCAAAGCCAGATTGATGTTGAGAGAAAATCGTAGTATGATAATAGTATTCAACAGTGTGATGCCCCCAGCTCCTAAAGCAAATATACTACGGTACTCTGGAGTAGGTATACCGAAATTTTTTAATCCATTTCAAAACCACTAATCTATTGAAAAAAATTCGTCTACGAGAATATTACAAAGTTATGACATAATTGTTAATCAGTGTATAAAACATTCATATTAACAGAATCATAAAATACCACTGAAAACTCTGTCAAGTCTTACTAACATTGAACATGCCTCGTTTATCAGAGAAAAATGTCCATCAGATTCACTTCCTCCAATGTAGCTGCAAAAAATAAACAATACATTTTAAATAAATATACAACTCAATCGTATCACATCAGCCCTGGTAGTACACTAAGATGGATGGGGAAAGAGAAAGGAAAGACAATGCTTCCGAAGTACAAATGATCAGAATTTTAACATTGTACCAAAATTACTAACATACACTGTACCAGAGCATTTGCCTTGCCAAGCCGCATCATTTATTTTCTCCTCTGTCATTTTCTCAAGGACAGATGTCCCTAATCCTGTGCTTGGTAACTCGGTTTTCCAACCTTCTCTTTTAGATTTACCATCAGATTGCATCTTATCCACAACCTATGAGTTCAATGACCAGATTAATAAGCGAATCAGCCCCCACCGATGATCCATGATTTAAAGAACGCATAAAATTGTAAAAACAGAGTGTACACCAAGATGGCCCAGTTATTAACAAAGAACAAGAGTATAACCCTGTTTGCAAAAAGGAATCCCCAATTTTATTTTATTTTTGGACACTCGGGTCCAGGAACTAATCAAAGTATTCATCTACCACTTCAGAAACTAGAACGATGCCTCGAGTTGAACTGTGTTGGGATTTGACAAATAATGTTATTGGACAAACACATGGGATTTCTCCACCTCGTGCACCCCAAATTCACCGATTAGTTCTCAATACAATTCTGCTAACTAAACTTACTCATGAATTTACTTCACCTCCATTTTTACCCTGTACCAAACCGACCCTAAGGATGAAGGTATGAAAAACCCATCCTAGACCTGTTTTTCACCCCAAAATTTAAGAGTATACCAAACTAAAAGTACAGAAAAAAAAATTGAAATATCAAAATCTGAGGTTTCCACGGCAGGAACATATTATGAAGTCAAAGGCATTGAATGCTTTCAAAAACTCGATTTCCATAATAATCCAGTTCCTGCCAAATGTTACTTTCTCTCTTCCATTTTTTTATATTTTAGTTTCCCACATGTATCCACCTTTGGAGACAACCCTATTTGAACTAAATATGGGCACCTCTCTCGACAGGGATTTGTATCTTCGTTCACCAAACTGTGAGGGACTAACCCCTTCCATTAGACCCAGTCCCCGTTGGCTCTCTTTCTCCATTTAGTCAATGTAATAATACAATAACAAAACAACCTAACTGGACCAGACCTTGTATCCAAAACAGCATAGACCGGTTCAAAGTCTCCCATCTCAAAAAGCAATTCCAAAAACACAAAACCCGAACTAACCACTAACCTAATATATGAACTTGCAAAGTGCGTAGAACATCTAATAAAATTAAACTCAATGCCAGTCAAATCAAACAAACAAAGGCATGCATGCGGAGTTGACTCCATTTACAACGCAAAAACGAAAAAACAAAGCTCAATCCAGTACACCAGACCTTCCGTTTTTCGGCCTCTATATATCCCTTCACGCCAGGGACTAATCTGCAAATCGAAACGCGGATCAATAATTAGATTAATTAATAAACTAATTAACAAAGCACGTTGAGAACACTAGTAATCGGCATATAATAATATGTTGATTAATTAATTGGAGATAAGATTGCATGGAGTACGGAATGATGCTTCGTACTTTGCGGAGCTAATGAGAAACCCTAGGAGCGTGGGTTTGAGAGCGTTGTCACGGAGGAGGAGGAAGAAGGAGCGGAGAGAGTGGGCGAGGAGGAGAGAGAGGAGAGGAGCGAGAAGCAGAGCGAGAGGCTCGTATTGGGAGAGAAAGGAATTCGCGGTGGCGCGGAACTGAGAGATCGAAGAAGAATCCATTGGAACAAAGATAGAGTAATGGAGAAGAAGGAAGAACGATAGCGCCGAGGGAGAGAGGGAGTGTATTGTATAGTGTATTATTATTTATAGTATTTGGAAGTTTGTAGAAGAAAGAGAGAAAATGAGAACGAAGAAACGTTGTCACGTTGCGTAGAAGAAAAGTGTTGAGTTATTCAGTTGCGTGGCGTTGGGTCTCGCTAGTCGCTAGTGCTCAACGTGGAAATAATTTGGTTAAATGTTTTTTGAGTGCTTGTAACTATAATCATTTCTATTTTTCTCTTTCACACATGCTAAACATATTATTAACGCGAAATGGGCATTTTCTTGACTAGTATTTCACCTTGCTTCTGTATAAAATAAATGTTTATTATATAAATAAGTATTATATTTTAATATTTTTAATGTATAAATTATAATTTATATTTATTAAAATAAGTCCTGTTGTAATATAAGGTTATTTTTAATGATTGATAATTTACTTTTAAAAAATTAGTTTAATTTCAAAATAATTATGATTAATTTTTTGAAATGGATAAGAAATTAAAAAAAAATCTTAAAAATCTTCTCTAAAGACATCTCTTTTAAAAGACGCATATAAGGAACGCTTGTCCGATATAGTCATTCGTATTATATAATGATTTGCATTTTTTTATTAGTCAAAATTATATTGATGTTTGACGTTGAAATCATATGTATATTATTCTATTATTAATTATTAGATTTTTTTTTGGTAAAGATATTAATTATTAGATTGATTGTAGTAATTTAATTTGGGAAAATTGTATAAATTAAAAAAAATCACTTGGAAAAATATTATTATCTTTATTTTTTTTATAAAATTTAATTTAGAATAATTATTTATTTCTTTATATAAAATTTAATTTATAATATTTGATGCATTAAATTAAATATAAAAAAAATCTTCTTAGTTAAAAGATGTTCTCTTAATGTGATAGGATACATATCATATATTAGTTATAGACTTTATAAAATATATGCATTTTAATTGGTTAGGAAAGTAAGCGATATTAATTGTGAGAAAAATTGTTATTAATTATTTTTTTAATGTTAGAAAGTTTATTGAAATGAAATTTTAAAAAATTATTTTAGTGTGAAAAAATTGTACGAATTTTAGTAAATTTTAGAAGATGTTAAATGTCATGACATTTAAAAAAAGTTAAAGACTTTTAAAATATGGATTTAATCAAAACTTTTATAATTCAAATTTTAATGAATTTTAATAGATTTTGATGGATTTATATTATAAGGTTTCAAAATATTTTGTGGATTTCATAAAAAATGTGATTTTATAAAACACATTTAATGTTTCAATAATTAATAAAAAAATATCATAAATAATAAAGAAAAGTAAAATAAACATTTTTTTTATCTTTTAATAAATAATTATATCTATCTTTGACAAATAATTTACTCTAAGGTCACTCTAACTAATATTTCTTCATATATCTAAAGTTATACTAGTCCTCCATTTATTAATGTATTTTCTTTCATACTTTTGAGTTTGAACAATATGTTCAAAATTATAATTTTCATTAACAGTTAACATTGAAAATGAAGATTCGTCTACTAATTCAACTGAAAATTCATCAAAACGATATTTTTAAAAAATAAGTTATACAATGTTACACGTGCTAATACAAACTTAACTTGTGTGTTAAATAAAAATAAGACATTGACTCTTGGTCAATTTTCTTGAGGACGTATGATATAAATTAAACATTTCATATAAAGTTAGTATAAAAAAATTATATATATATATATACACACATATATACTAAAAAAAATTTGATCTTGTTGCACTTTAAGTTCATTTCTCTTTGTCAAAGCAACACTTAAAAATTTGGAATCGTAAGTTGAACCCTCTCACCTCCTAAAAACATACATGAATTCTAAATCAAAGTTACAAGTTGCATATACTATTTGTAATATATTTTCACGATGATTACAATATCTGCTTACATATTGTCTTTTCACCATTGTTGAAAAATGAGTACCATCAATAATTATGATGCAATCCAAATTTCTTTTATATATTGTTATAGTTCAACCATTATAACTCCATAAACATATAAATAAAATACTTTAACCATAATACAATTAAAATGACACTTAAAAAATAGTCTAACAAAGTATTAGTCATTCTAACTTAAAGTTTAACCAAAATGAATGTTATTCTAAAGATATCTTAAAGAAAATGTCCTTATTTGTTTTAGTATCAAGCATAAAACGAGTTTTGTCATCTAAATTTGAGATCTCTTTTATAGCATTTCAAATATTATTATTTTTCTCTTTTTGTCTTTTTTTTTTTATAAATATGTTAGATATTTTTTCAAATTTGTCAACAATGGTCCCAATAATAATAGAAAGGGTATCTAAAACTCTGGTATGATTATTGGTACCAATTGAATTAAAATTCCCTCTACACTCAAATTTACTTTTCTTATGATGAATTTATTTTTCAATGAGAATCTCAAAACTTAAAAGTCAACTATATTTTTAAGGCAATGAAGGTTGGTAGGATGGTTCATAACTATCTAGTTGATAAATTATACATCAATATTAATAGATAAAATTATAATAAAAATATTGATAGATACAAAATATAGGATAAAAATAAGAGAAAGAAAGGAGAATAAATAATTGAGAGAGATAAACAAAAAGATAAAGATAATATGAGATAGAAAAAACATGGTAAGAGAGAGGAAAGAAATGGAAGAAAGTGAGAGGGGAAAAAACAACGTAGGGAAGAGAGAGGGAAAAGAGAAACAAAGAGAAAAGCAAAGATGAGAGAGATAAAAAAAAAGAATATAAAAAGACGAGAAAGCAAAAATTGAAGATAAATAAAAGAGGAAAAAAATTATGAGAAATCTCAAAGATTTTTGTGAGATTATTAGATATATAAATTATATATAAATTATACTAAAAAGTTTCACAAAATTCATCCTTCAAAATAATTTATTAAGATTTCTATATGTTTGAAATTTGAATATCAATAAATTTTTGTTGTGAAAAAAAAATCTTAATTAAATAATACTAAATTTTTAAGTACCCTAAAAAAATCTGATTATCTTAATTGAATATTGTCAATTAAATGTTACATGATTTTTTATATTAAAAATTTTAAATTGAATATTACGATATTCTTTTGTAATAGTTTTTTTTCAAATGATTTGAAAACTCAAACTAATACACCTTCTCAATAAATTATATATTTGAGTCTTATATAAGTAAAAAAATAATAATAAATAAATAAAAGAAAGGTAATATGCACCAAATATAAGGCCGTGATTTAACTTTTTCACCATAATTGGTTGCCCATGAATTACTAGAAACTTTTATTCAGGTATAAAAAAATTAATATTATATTTAAAAAATTAAATAACACTTATTTTAAATTTGTAAGACTTTTATTTAAATAATTATGATATTAATATAAAGTATTTAAGATGAGTATTTATCTTTTAATATAATTTATTTTATATTTAAAACTAAAATTTAAAATATGAATAATTTGATTAAAAAATATAAATAATTATTACTTGTGTCAGTTAATATAAGTGTTGTTTTTTTGTCTAACATAATACTTTCTTATGATTTATAATAAATATTATCTATGTTATTTTATATAAATCAAGAAAAATTAATAAATAAATGATTGATAATGACGATTTTATAATAAGCCTTATAATTTTTTTTATTAAAAATGATGTAATATAATAATTACTTTTTAAAAAATATTATAAAAAATATAAATAAAAACTAAATAATTAATATTATATTAAAAATAATATAAAATTTATTTTAAGACTTATTTTTTAAAATACAATACTTATTACTGGACCGAAAAAATATATCACTAAATCTGATATTTTGTTCGAGTCATTTTTCTAAATTTGATTGAGACCCGCATTAAATTGTCTAAATTTAAGGTAGTGATTTAACTTTTACGCGATTAAAATAATTAATTACAATTAATCGAGTTGCCCATGAATTGTTAACCTTTTCTATTAGGAGTATAAAAAACTATTTAATGTCTTAAAAAATTATTTAATCGAGCCAATACACCTATTTAAGTTTCCTATATTTTTTTCCTTACCCAATACATCAGTATATCAATATGATATATTAATGGAGCCATTTTTCTGAATTCAATCAAGACTCAAAATAAATAAATAAATAAATATATATATATTATAACATAAGATTTAGTTACCTCAAATTTCAACCATCTTCATTTATTTGTAATCTTTTGAAGATAGATAGCTCTTGTGTTGTTGTTGTTGTTTTTTTTTTTTTTTTTCTGAAAGCTTCTAGTCCTGACTTCATGCATATCCCATTCAGAAAATAAAAAAGAAAACATTAACCAGATTTTCAATGTAATATATCAACGTTAATATTTTAGACGTAGTTAAATTCTACAATAAAAAGAATAAAATTTAATTAAAATTACATATTATTATATATACTCTAAAATGAACAATACAATTATAAAATATTATCATAATAATATTATTCAAAATATTTTTATTTGATAAAGAAAAGGTTATCGTTATAAATTTGTATTTTTTTTATGGAAAAAATGATGTCTTTTTGTGATAATATAAAACACCGAATCAAATTAGAATGACTTTTGATATAACTCAAATCCAACTTCAAAAAAAATTAATCCACTTTATATATTAAACAAATTCAGTTATTTCGTGTGAAAGTATTTAAAAAAAATTAATAAAAATATTTTTAAGTGTTTTTTTATGTGAGAGTTTGTAATTTTTTAATATATAATTTTATTCATATTTACGTATTTATTCTAAATTAATATTGTGCGAGTTGAATTACACACATACTATAAGAGCATCTACAATGGGAGTTCCCAACCACTTTAAATGGGTCCCATTGTACTACATCACTTATAAGCAACTTATATTATATTTTTACAATTTTTACTCCAATAAGAATTGTTTATAAACACTCAAACTTTTCTACAATTTATATTACACTTTTTAATACCTCACACTACACTTTATGATAAATTAATTATTATAATAATTTATATACAGAAAGGGAAA